TATATGTTAGTAATTAAATATCATGCTGATGTCGAAAACCCAAAAAAATATCTTTGACGCAATTTCCAGCTGGCAACCCAGCCCGTATGAGCCACAATTACCCCTTCACCCCGCATCTCCGGCAGCCCATACATGCAACTGGCGTGGTTGTGGTATAATCGCGTTATTGACAGAGATTCTCAGAAGAGGCAAAAATTTTCACGAATAGTATCTCACTCACAGATACCTGTGAAGCGCTATTCTATCGATGCTGAATCAGACACTTACCTGGTTCTGAGTAGCAAACGAATGCCCGGCGCACACCAAGCGATAAATCAATGCTTTTTAGTACACGTACTATGTTACTCGAAGAGATGACAATGCATGAAATGAAGCTAATGAGAAGAATCGGTCGAATTGCGTTGAGCTCTTTGGCGCTGGCCTGTTTTGTTAACTTTCTTGCCACAAGAAAAGCGAACGCCGAGCCGAAAAATCCGCCGACCTGAAATCTCGAAAACACATAAGAATACAGTAGAGCATTGAAATTGTTGAAAAAAAGTCTCGCATTTCTATTCCTGGCACCCTCACCGTGCCCCCTCCCCCCATCTTCCAAGCTAGCTATCTCTTCCTCCATATTGCATTTTTATAGTAAAGGCAATCGTATGCAAAATAAAACGTTCACTAGTAAAACTGGCTTACCTGACATGAAATATTGAAGAACTGGTGAAACGCGGCAAATCCTTCGACGGTGCTAAAACATTTCACTTCAACAACTGAATGACTTCTTCTCCGGAAACTCACCGAGATGTTATAATAGAATATTACTTTATTTATACTGTTTTTGTAATATTTTTGCCTGGCCAAAAAGAGAACTGGACGCTCAATGCTAATAGAATTGTAACGCTTTACTCCGTCACAGCCTCTAAGCTTTAGAGTCTGTAAGTCTTCCATTTGGAGTTCCTTGAGGTTCGAGCAAAAAGCGGCACGGTGACGGCAAGAAAAAGGGCAATAATATTCATTCAAAAAGTGTAAGACGCGTCCAATCTCGATGGTGCACTGGACGATCGTTATGCCCACAAAGCCTATCTGCGTAGTAGTTTGACTCTACTCAGTATTGATGCTCTGTCTGCAGCCCCGCTGCAAATCAAAAGTGTACGTACTTAAAAGGCACCGCACTTGCAGGAAGGATACTGCGAGGGAACTTGTAGTGTCCTTCCCTACAGAAAGCGTACCACACCCGTCGCACAAAATGCGCGGTTAGGGCGCTAATCGTTAAGGGCTGCAACCATCGGCCCTTATTGCAACGCTTCCCACCCACCCGCCATTGATGTGGAGATCAGCGCGCTCTCGAACGGCGTGCTCTCTCGCGTGTTCTGTCTTCTCTGATCGTTTTGTCTCGCCCTCGTACTACATCCGATCTTACTGGAGGTCAAGGCCTTAATTTTAGCGTTTCCGATGGCTTCTCTTGCTTTCTTTTCCACTTTTAGTCCATTCGCAGTCCATCCATCACTGTAGGTGCGCTGATTATACACCAGTTTTATTCCGGGGGTTACCTTCAATCAACAAAAACCATTGCAGAGGATAAAAGCAAATGAAAAGTTTAATCACCTCATACCTTGGGGTGACCCCGGAAAAACAATTCCCCGTAGTTGAGTTACCGTTAACCCTGGCTAAATGGTATTGGAGACAGTTTCAAAGTTTTAAGCAGTCCCAGAGTATAAACGGGGGATAATATAATTGCCTCGACTTGATTTTCGCCGGATTTTCTGTTCAATAAATCCATAATAATTCCTTCGTGAGCATACCTCCCCGATATGCCGCAGTAGATGTCTTCCTGGACATTTGTCCGCGGGTCGATGTACGACGTTATAAACATGACTATTAGTGACAATAGGCACACTGTGGCGCAGACACCTGCGGCCGCATAACGATTCTCAACTGTACCATAGCGCCTGAAATTAACTGAGGTACGAATTCGTAAAAGAGGAGATGAAGAGGAAGGAAAGTGCTGGATTTAAAGAATAGGGAACGAAGTCGTCCGAGTGAATCCGTCCCTGAAGGTTGCGCTATGAGTTCGTCTTTCATTTTGGGCAAAAGGGATTTGAATATGTGTGGCCTATGCAATAGCTTGAAGGGTTAGTCGTTTTCCATGTCATCTTCTGGTTTTTATCCTCATAAGCGGATTATAGGATAACGATGCTGAAAAGCTATGAGGACCGGTCACAGTGTAGGAATCCGTTATCGCGTGTGTATCGCGTGAAAAGCAGCACCCTCACTCTGGCCACACCTAACTTGTCGCATCGATTAAAGTCTTATTTCAGTCTTGTCTTCAGTATCTTACTACTAACATCTCAACCAAGACCTTCATCTTCTTCGGGTTGGCTAGTTGGAATGGCCGATGTCAGACTTTGCGATTGGAGCGATTTTGCACCAATTGCAGGAGCGACGGATCGCTTGAGCGATGCGAGCGACGGGAGATTTACGAACTGATGGCGCCGAATTATCGGTGGTCGGCGGTGTAAATCTCCCGTCGCTCGCATCGCTCAAGCGATCCGTCGCTCCTGCAATTGGTGCAAAATCGCTCCAATCGCAAAGTCTGACATCGGCCAGTCAGACTATGGAATGCCCCAAGACATAGACTTGTAAACCGGTTGACCATTTGTAGTCATAGTATTGGAAAATGGCGATCAAATTTCACTACAATTCAAATGATTCGTGAACGGTATTATTGAGCACGGCCAAAGAGATAATATTATGTGCTCGATACCGCTTACTGAATGCTCTTATACTTCATTAGAAACCCTACCGATAAGAGGTCGTAAATAATACGGCGAACACCTTTTCAGCAGACATCGTGAGCATTGTAAGTGAAACGAGCTCCGTACCATAAATTCGGAATACCATATAGCCTCTGCTTGCACATCCCCATAAGGAAGTGCCTTGAACGATAATGAATTAGAACTTATTTTGAGTGTTTTGAAATGTGCATCTACCCATATTATAGAACAAGCTACTGCTGATTAAAAGAGGATACCATGATAAGAACGATGGTCGAAGAAGGAGAAACTTACCTAGTGGAGAGACAGGCGGACCCCTAAGGGTGCGGACCAACACGCAATTCGCATCGAAGGATATGCCCCGGCGATCTAGCATGGCCTTCCCTTTGGCGCAGTTGGCCCGGAACGCCCACCGACTATCTAATCACTCGCCGCAGGTCTATACGCGGCGAGTGATTAGATAGCAGAGAGAGCGTAAGCGTTTCTTCAACGCTAAGAAGGTAAGAACGATAACAACGATGAGAGTTGCATCAATGCGGAAATCAACGGGCAAGGAAGGGGTCCCATTTCTCGGGTTCTGGGCCGTTTCACATGGTTTCTTCTTCATCCCTGCTCCACTGACCACCTCTATTCTTATTTCCAATAAGCTACCTTTTAATCGTGAAATCCACCTTTGAAGGAGTGCCCCAAGGTTAACCGGTGTGATTCTCGCACACGAATTAGATTATTGGTACGAAATGGGCCGCCAGTAAAGAATGCGATGAAGAGGCTTAAAGTCACGAGTCGGAATTGATCTCAAGAGCCATCCCCTTCTAGAGTGAGAAAGAGGGGTCCCAAGGCAGGAGGCACGACACTGTCGCGACTCAAAAGTGCGAGGCAACGGCGCTAAGGCCTTGCCTTGTGTGCTGCCGTGCTGCCATCCTTATCAACCACGGCATACGTGGTCTCTGCGCCCTCTCGCGTACGACGTACTATCTCGCGTTCTCCCTCTCCTCGCAGCGCTGTGTCTCTCCGTCATACTACGGCCGGCCTCCTAAGGGAAATTTAGTGTTTTCTGGTGCTTTTTGCTTTTTCTCCTCACTAATGTTCCTCATTGCACCCCTTGCCTAATGTTCGAACAAAATAACGCATCAAATCAATCCCGACTCGTGCCTTTGAACCAAGGGTGTAGTGTCTGAGTCTTCCCCGTTCCACACACTCTCTCGTCTCCGAGTCTTTTCTCCTGTTTCAGCCTACAGTGTCTCATTGACATTCGTTTCCATTACTGTGTGTAGCTGGCCCATCGGCGAAAAGGAGGCTCTCAAAAACAATCCCACGATCAGAGTGGTGCAATTCCTCCGTACGGAAATGAAAACAAGGGCGCGCAATAGATCAGTAGAGAAGAAAAACGAGTACGTCAAAAAAACGAGTTAAAGAGCTTGTTCATTTCTGCAGTTTACCTGTGTCGTGACAATAGGACACTGAGTGCGGGGGAGAGAGGATGTGTGAGAGAGCACAACGGATAAGAGGGCGCAGACACTCGCATGTGCAAATGAGGGAGAGCCTATGCGATCGAAACGACTTTGGAAGGTCCTGGCATACTTGTCGTCCACTTTGGAGGCGGGATAGCGGAACGTTTTGCTACTTAGCAGGAGACTGCTCTCCAGCGCCCATCGAAGTATTTGGTACACCTGAGCTTTATTGTGTGGCGGAGCTCTTTTCAAAGAGTCCAGCGAATAAGAATGCAAAGTAGGAAGTTGGCACCTAACTCGGCGCACACCGAATTCCAGTTTACTTGAAATGAGAGGCCGAAGCCACGTTGACGCGACTATCGCTTTCACGACGGAAGATACGTTGGTTGCATGAGCGAGGACTTCAAAAAGCACTCCGCCCCCAAAAGCGATCCGCCCACAAGTTTAGTTGGTTGATTTGGACGACCTGCGTTGCCAGCAGCGGCACAATTGGAGCCATGACAACTGCTACTAATGCGGTTCGCTTGGCTTTAAACATGTGTCACCAAAATCGCGATTGCCATGAACTCGCTTCATAAACCTCGGCCTTCACGACGCTCGTTTGCCTGTTCCTGAGTGATAACCAACGGTCAATAACAGGGGAGTTTCGCTTTTGCGTCTCTTCTTAGAATCGATTTCCTCTACTTTTTTTTGCCACTAGCATACCGCTAAGCACCACCACGTCAATCTAAACCCTTCTTAAACCTAGCGTAATAACTGCCTTTAAGTATAATGATGATTTATTGATTCTTTTCCTTGTTCTTCTGACGAGAAATTTAACAGGCGAAATCAACTGCGTATAACAGACGCCCACACCCTAAGTCACCTTGCATGATATTCCGTGAAAGGTGAGCTCTCACTTTACTTACCAGGATCTCACCATTCTACAAGGAGGTCATCATCGACGTCAAGAGAGGGGTTCGACAGGGCGACACCATCTCGCCCAAACTCTTCAGCGCCGCTCTCGAGAACGTCATGCGTCAACTGGAATGGGAAGACATGGGAGTGAAGGTCGACGGCCGGCAACTACACCACCTTCGTTTTGCTGACGACATCGTTCTTATAACGCCGAACATCGAGCAAGCGGCGAATATAAGTATAATGTATGCT